TGCAGTACTTCGGGCATGGGGCTAGTGCTTGGAGGGCGGAGTCCAGTGGTCCCCACTGGGCACGCGGACGCTTCTTGGGCTGACGACCAGGCTACTCAGCGGTCGTCCGAGGGTTACACCTTCAGTCTTGGTTCCGGCTCTGTTTCGTGGCGGGCTACTCGCTCGTCCTCTGTTCTCGGCTCCAGTTGTGAGGCTGAGATCTACGCCGGGGCCATGGCTGTACAGGAGCTTCGCTGGCTCACCTACCTGCTGAGCGACCTTGGAGAGTCGCCTCGTTCTCCTCGAGTGTTGTACGTAGACAACAAGGCCATGCTGGCCTTGTGTCGAAAGCAGCGCCTGGAGCACAGAACAAAGCACATTGCTCTCTGCTACTTTCTTGCTCGTGAGCTGCAGCAGTGTGGTCAGTTGCGACTTGCATACGTGGCCTCTGAGGCCAACAGTGCTGATGTTTTCACCAAGGCACTTGCGCCTTGTGATCATCAGCGCTTCTGCACTCAGCTGGGACTTGTCCCGGTCTTGCCTCACTTGCTCACCTCTTGACCTTGCTTGTACTCTTGCATATGTATATATACCTGCTCTTGCTTGTTTAGCCTTATATATATATATATATATATATATATATATATATATATATGTCTACCCGTGCATGTGAACTGGCCTTGTGGCCTTGACCTTGTGCTCGGACTGTGTGGTGACTTTGTGATCCACCCTGAGCTTGCTTTGCTTTGCTTTGCTTGACTGGTCTTGTGACCCCTTGTTTTCCCCCACTTTGCCTATGGGGGTGTGTCAGAACATATAGCTTTTGCATATTGTGTAGGCTACAGTGGGGTAGCCTACAAGGGGTACAACCCAATTAGGGTTAGTACTTGTACTCACTTCATTCATAGTTCATCCATTCTCGTTCTCATTTTCTCAACCTTAAGGAGCTATGGTGACGTAGTGGCGAGTAGCTACACTAGGCGTGAGTGGCGCTAGTGCTTGGGGTAGCGTTGGAAGAGAAAGCAGCGACAAATAATCAGGAAACCCTAAGGTACATTTTGAATTTGCAAAACGATCAATTAAAGCACGACGCAATAACTTACGGCGTCGGTAGCACAATGGCTTCGATCTCAGCTCGGATTCAGTGGCTGGAATGAAGATAAGAGAAAGAATGGGAGGAGTAAGGAAAACGGAAAAAACAGGAAAATGGAAAACGACAAGTAAGAAAACGACATGAAAACATACGTAAATCGAAGTTCAGCAAGCTAAGATGCACCTAGACATATGAAAACGGCAGACTAGTTTAACTACCTAGTAGAATAGAAGTAAGGAAGTGAGAAAGTCAGAGAAAATTTGCAAATACGAGGCAATAAGAATTCAACAGAGAAAAGGGAACGATCTACAAAAGAACTGTGCAGGCTTATTAAAGACCTGACCTAAAGTCTAAAACCTAAGCTTAATCAACTGACATCTTCTAAACGCGGTCAGCACTAGAGTATAAAATATGTTAGTATAGCTAGCAATCATCTAACTTAATTCTGCTTGATAGGTTAGGGTTCTCACCTTAGTAGGAACTACTAGGTCGAGCGTGACTAGCGGGGAGCTCAACCAGCGAGAGGAAGGAGGGAGAAAAGGGAAACCCTAAGGAAGGGTCAGATTCGTCGCAAACTAAACGTGAAGACACTTTTACGACTTACGAAAGTTAGAGTAGTGGTACTCAGTTGTTGAAGGACAGCCTATAATCAAGAGGTGCGGGGTACAAATCCTGAGTATGTTTTTTCTGAATCTTGGAACGTAGGAAAAAAACACCATGTCAGTGTCATACTACAGTATTATGTACAGATTAATAAATTGTAGAAAAATGTGTACTTACAGTTACGTAAAAAGCTTCGCAACCCTAAGACGATATCGTCGCCTCTTGTTCTTTTTTTTGCCAAACCATACAACATTGCTTGTTATTTAAAATGACCACGCCAGTATACTGTAGATGGAATGGGCCCGGACCTGTACAATATGCTACAGTTCGTGCAAAATCCTTGTTTCAGTTCGGGTGCGTGCGGGGTGGAGCTGGCTTGATGGTGGTGAGTGGTGGTTCCAAATGTGGTCAAGGACTGTCCAGGCTGGTGAAGAGTTCCATGTGACACCTCTCGGGAAACTGCTGCTTGTGTCGTTCGTACGGAACACTGGGACGGTTACACTAGCTTCCTTCTCAAAGCCTACCATACCTGATCGTTTTGATATGTAAATTAGCCGCCTATAAACGCATATTACCGTATTACCGAGAACTGTTGTTTGACATCCCCTTGTCATCTCCACGAGCCACAGCTCCAGCCAGCTGATTTATCACCTCTCAAACCACTCTACCGCTTGTAGTAGTGAGTCGTGACATGAAGAGCGTGCGTCCTGTCAGTGAAATAAGAGTGACCTCAGACCCACAGTCAGCAACCAGCAGGCTGTGGGGTTAGGAAGTGCTGCCATCAATAGCCATGACAGCCTAGGTTGCCGGACTTCCCGTCCCAAAGATCGACCTTCGCGTCGCTCCCGCCTTCCTGCACACCCGTTAGTGTTGAGTTCGTTATTGTTGGCTCGTTCGTTAGTGTCGGCACGTTCGTTGGTGTTGGCATGTTACCTTGGTGCTCTTGTTTGCCGCCTAGTAGTGACCCGAAGTAGGAGTTTGTCCTAAAGACGCTACATTGGCTAGTGGCTTGACGCGACATACGCGATCGTATATATTTCGTGGTAGTTCTGTTTCTGTTTTTAGCGCCTCCAATATCATACCCGATCGTATTTATTTCGTAGGTATTTTGTTTTGTTTATTTCTCCGATATTCTTTCTCCTAGACCTCGAGGTTTGCTGCGCTATTCCAGTTGGTAGATATCCACCAATGCCCTTCTCTACGTTTGACCGAGTGCGACAATCGACAATGCCGCGTTATTGAGCTTCGCGGTATTAGCCTCCTAACCCTAGCCAGCGACTTATGGGGTGTATACAGTCCAAACCGGCTGTCAAGGACCTGTTACCAGACCGAGTCAGCGAAGATGAAAGTGGATTGACGAAAATTGACGAAACATTGCAATCGCAAGCCAAGGTAGCGTCGGGTCGCAGCGTTGACGATGCGACAGCTGGGAAATCGGCTTCGGGTCGCCTGCCGTCGCTTTTCAGTAAAAGCCGTCGCAGGGATGACCAGGGCGACAGCACGGACAACGGCGACGACAAAGGCGTGGAGTCGTCGCCGCGGGAAGCGACGGGCATCCACTGTTTGCCAACGGGGGGCGTCCGCGGATTCAAGGTACTATTGTCGAGATATTATGGAGTAGAGTAGTACTAGTAGCGTAGGTCGTACGAGAAATTATGGAGTTAGAGTTGTACTATTAGCGTAGGAGTAACTACCCTTTTTTTTCTTCTTTTTTGGCACTTCAGCTGTTGCTACTCGCAATCTCACAGCGATTTTGTACTGACATCAAGACATTGAGGACCCCTCCCGCCCACCCCGCCTCCCCAGTCCCTCCCTCTCCCCCCTTGTCCTTTCCCCCGTTTTCTCCCCATCCTCCCCCTGCCCTCCCCCCCCTCTTCCCCTCTTCCCAGCCCCCCAACCCCCACCCCGCCTCCTGTATTCGTTTTTCTCTCCGGTTCTGCTGCTGCGGGGTCAGACATTTAAGCTGTTGTCACACCGACACACGGCTGTCGCCTTTCCACCAATGTCACTTCTAGTTTCACTGTGGCCCCTGTTTGCCTAATTCAATGCGTCAGTGACTCCGTTCCCTCTGTGTCTGTCTGTATGTTGCCCTTCTGTCCGCTGTCCCCTTTCAAACAGTCCTCTCAACTCAATCCTCGGCTTCACCAGCAGGCGCTAGTTTTCTGACGTCTCCAAACGCCGTTATTTATTCTCTGATGCCCCCTCCATCCTCAAAGCAGTCTTCGCAATTCTCAGCCACACCAGCAGCAGGGACTAGTTTTGTGACTCCGCCATTCTATATTTTCTTTCATCGTTCCACCCACTGCTTCTCTGCCCTCACCAGCAGTCCTCTCCTCTCCTCTCCTCTCCTCTCCTCCGTTGCCCTTTCCCCCCCCAAACAGTCCTCACAATCCTCAGCCTCACCAGCAGGCGCTGCTGCCGCACCAACTGCGTCACCCACGCGAGGGTGAGTCGCTAAACTTACACACTGCGCGTATCTTCATTCATGCGACCAGGCACAACCGGCCTCTTGTGAAGAGCCGCAAAAGCTGTTTGAACCGCACTGCACCGCATGATCCTGAGTCGCCAAACCTGCATTTATCCTTCATTCGACCAGACCATGATCTTAGTCTCTAAAATGCATGCATGCATGCACTTTGGTGTTTTGAGTCGGAGCCAGTTTGCCCTTTGAATAAACCTAAGCCCAGAGACGGGGCCGAAAGCTCAACGCTACAGATGCCTTTTGAGGCGCCTTAAACAAAATTCGTTTCTTGAGGCGTCTCAAAAGTCGGATGCCTTTTGAGGCGCCTCAAAAATGCACGCATGCTGGATCCAGTTTGCCCTTTGATTAATTCTTAGCCTCGGAACAGGGTCTATTTATGAGGCGCCTCAAAAATAGACTTCGGTGTTCAGGTTTGGATCCAGCTTGCCCTTTGATTAAGCCCTAGCCCCGGAACTGGGCCCAAAGATGCCAAAACGCTCTCTGCTGTCTTGTCTCCTCTGCCCCTCTCTTTTCCCCATTCTGTTCTTTTGGCATGTCCCTGCTTTTGACTAGCAGGGAAGCGCCTGCAGCAGAGGAGGCGACCACCCCTGTTGGCCCAAAGCTCATCCGCTCCAAGGGAAAGTGAGTGGCAGAGGTTCAGTCCGTGCAGGTCCGTGCAGGTCCGTGCAGGTACATGCAGGTCCGTGCAGGTCCGTGCAGGTCCGTGCAGGTACATGCAGGTCCGTGCAGGTCCGTGCAGGTCCGTGCAGGTTCCATAAGTAGCATGCTTCTGAAGCACCTCACCCCGTTGTCCCCCCCCCCAACCCCACCCTCGTTCTAAGACATTCATTCACGCGAAGGAAAATGAGTACCAAGTGTTCAATCGCATTCTCCTCCCCCTCCTCCCCTCTCTCCCCCCCTTCCCCTTCCCCCCTCGGCTTCCCTTCCCCGTTTCCCCTCCTTGGTCTCAGAATTGAGATCATGGGGTTTGAAGTGGCAAACGTGATCGTCAGGGCAATCAACCTGCGCCAGTCGCTGCTAGAGCGGGATATAGAGGACCTTCGGGCGGAGGTGCTGGCATCGGAGGGCATAAGGATGCTGGTCTCGGATGATTTCTACCACGTGTGGTGCATTGCTGCCGAGGACAAGCGGTGAGGACAGGCTGGGACAGGTGATGATAGGGCTGGTGTGGTGAGTATGGGAGCGGGCTATAGAGGACTTGCGGGCGGAGTTGCTGGCATCGGAGGGCATAAGGATGCTGGTGTCAGACGACTTCTACCACGTGTGGTGCATCGCTGCCGAGGACAAGCGGTGCGTGGGAGAGGGTGGGACGGGTGGTAGGGCCGGGCCGGATGGTAGGGCCGGTCGGTGCGTGGCACACGGGTGGTTTGGCTGGGATGGGTGGTAGGGCCGGTGAGTGCGGGAGCGGGATATAGAGGACCTGCGGGCGGAGGTGCTGGCATCGGAGGGCATAAGGATGCTGGTGTCAGACGACTTGTACCACGCCTGGTGCATTGCTGCCGAGGACAAGCGGTGCGTGGGACACAGGTGGTGGGTCTGGGACGGGTGGTAGGGCTAGGATGGGTGGGGCTGGGACGGGTGGTAGGGCCGGTGAGTGTGGGAGAGGGACATAGAGGGTCTGAGGGCGGAGGTGGTGGCGTGGGAGGGCATAAGGATGCTGGTGCATTGCTGCCGAGGACAAGCGGTGCGTGCGTGGGAGAGAAAGACCAGGTTTGTGGGCAGGTGGATGGCATTATTAGAGATCATGAGATCATCAGGGACCGGTGGTGCTGCTGACTTCACACAGCACAGCACAACACATGAAGACTGATTGCTGTACTGTACATGAAGGTTTTGAAAAGCCTTGATCTGCTTTGACGAGCTTCAGGGATTCGGAACTGGCTGGCGTCCTTGCTTTTCCTCCTCTTCACCTTTTCTGTCCTCTTTCCTGTTCCTCACTCTTCTCCCTTCCCCCTCCCCTCCCCACCGTCTTTTCTCACGCACACAGGGGCGAGTTGAGAGCAGTGGCGAGGGATGTGGCACGGCTGGGCAAGCAATGTCTTGACTTGACCCGTCTTTCTTCCTCCCTCCACCATCTTTCCTCTGTTCCTCACACTTCTCCCTCCGTCATCTCATGCACTGCACTGCACACAGGGGCGAGTTGAGAGCAGTGGCGAGGGATGTGGCACGGCTGGGCAAGCAATGTCTGGACCCGGCATTGCATTCGCTCACACAGGCCTTTGACGCGTGAGTGGGCTGTTATGCGCATCTGTCACTTGAGCGATGGGGGCTTGACTAGTGAAGGATGGGGTTTGATGTGTGCGTGAGTGGGGTGTTATGCACATCTGTCACTTGAGCGATGGGGGCTTGACTAGTGAAGGATGGGGTTTGATGTGTGCGTGAGTGGGGCGGTGGCCGTTTGACCTATGCTCAGGCAATCTCGTGTATGAAGAAGTGTTTTGAGACGTCTCAAAACACTTCTTCATACAGTGGCTGTTTGACCTACGCTCAGGCAATCACGGGTCCCTTGGTCTCTCAATTGACAAGACAACAGCCATGGATGCAGAGCAGAGATGGTGCTTGGAGGTCCACACGCACCTGCGTTCCAGTCCAGGTGTGAATTTCGGCACCGAAAAGTGTGACTTCCTTCCGTTGGGCCTTAACGTTGGGATCGTCGCCAGCAGAAGTCATGACTCCTCCTCCCCACCAGCCTCGGCACCATGGATGGACGTAAGGGCCGAATGATACCAGCAAATCCACGACCCTGCTCCTTGACCCCTCACTCGCTTTCTCTGTCAACTCCAACCACACCCCCCCCTTTGCCCCCACCAGCCTCGGCACCACGGACGGTCCCAAAGGCCGAATGACATCAGCGGAAGCCATGAATCCGCCCCATGCCTACATGATCCATTTCCTTCCTACCCCCTCTCTCCAATTCTTTTCTTTCTCTCCTTCAATTTCTCCCCTCCACCTGTCTCGGCGGCACCATGGACGGCCCCAAGGGCCGAATGGCATCAGCAGAGCGCACGAGCCCACCTTACCTGCGCTGCTTGCTTACCCCCTTGCCCCCTCTCTCTTCTCGCTCTCCCCCTCACCAGCCTCGCCAACTTTTGAGTCGACTCAAAAGTGACTTTTGAGTCGACTCAAAAGTCGGAGCGCACGAGCCCGCCTTACCTGCGCTGCTTACCCCCTTGCCCCCTCTCTTCTCGCTCTCCCCCTCACCAGCCTCGCCAACTTTTGAGTCGACTCAAAAGTGACTTTTGAGTCGACTCAAAAGTCGGAGTGCACGAGCCCGCCTTACCTGCGCTGCTTACCCCCTTGCCCCCTCTCTTCTCGCTCTCCCCCTCACCAGCCTCGCCAACTTTTGAGTCGACTCAAAAGTCGGAGCGCACGAGCCCGCCTTACCTGCGCTGCTTACCCCCTTGCCCCCTCTCTTCTCGCTCTCCCCCTCACCAGCCTCGCCAACTTTTGAGTCGACTCAAAAGTCGGAGCGCACGAGCCCGCCTTACCTGCGCTGCTTACCCCCTTGCCCCCTCTCTTCTCGCTCTCCCCCTCACCAGCCTCGGCACCATAGATGGCCCCAAGGGCCGAATGACATCAGCATAAGCCGTGACCCTGCCACTCGGCTACTTTCTCCCTTTCTCCTTCAATCCCCCTCTCCTGTGTCCCTCTCTCCCCCCCCCCCCCCCCCCCCCCCCTTTTTCCCAACTCCTCTCTTCCTCTCTTCTCTTCCTTGCTCCCCCCACCAGTCTCGGCACCATGGATGGACCCAAGGGCCGAATGACATCAGTGGAGGTGGAGGGGGAGTTGCGAGCTTTGGAAGGGCAGGCGCAGATCACAGCGGTGAGTGGTGTGGAGTCTCCAGCGGCTTGCATAGCATCAAAGGTTGAGGCTGAGGGAGAAGTGGAGGGGGGGGAGGTGGAGGGGGAGCTGCGGGCGCTGGAGGGGCAGGCGCAGATCACAGCGGTGAGTGGGTGGGTTCTGTGTTGACTCTTGGGGGCCATGGGTTGCAATGCAACTTGCATCGCAGCAGAGGGGGAGGGGGAGCTGCGGGCGCTGGAGGGGCAGGCGCAGATCACAACGGTGAGTGGGTGGGTGGATACTGTGTTGAATTTCGGGGGCCATGGGTTGCAACCTCCATAGCAGCGTATTGTGCCATGAGTTGGCCAACCCCCCATCCTCTCCCCCCCATCCTCCTCCCCCCCCCCATTCCCCCCATCACGAGCTGTACCCCGAGTTGACCAATCCGGAGCAGCTGCAGCAGTCTCTGTGGTGATTCACGTATCTCTTTCTCCCCCCTGTCCTCCTCCTTCCCCTCCTCCTCCCCCCCCCCCCTTTTCCCCCACCAGGAGCTGTACCACGAGTTGGCCAATCTGGAGCAGCTGCAGCAGGTGTTGCGGTTATTCACATTCCCCTCTTCCCCCCTGTTCTCCCCCACCCCAATGCTCTTGTCTTTTCCCCCTTCCACCCCACCAGGAGCTGTACCACGAGTTGGCGAATCTGGAGCAGCTGCAGCAGTCGTTGGACAGACGGGTGAAGCAGGACTCCGACTCCGCTGTAAACAGAGGTGAGTGTGTGGTGGGACGGGTGGGTCGGTGGTGGGACGTTGGCGTTGCTTAGCACGAACACGAACCAAGGAGGGAGTGCTGCAGCAGTCGTTGGACAGACGGATGAAGCAGGACTCGGATTCCGCTGTCAACAGAGGTATGCTGCTGCTTCCCATGTTTTCACGCACAGAAGGGAGTTACTGCCTTGGTCTTGACTTCTGAACACAAGGAGTTGGCAGGTTTGGAGCAGTAGTTACAGCAATTACTGGACAGACGGGTGAAGCAGGACTCGGTCTCTGCAGTCAACAGAGGTGAGTGTGTGGTGGGTGGGTGGGTGGAATGGTGGCATTGTTTAACATGAAGAGGGAGTGCTGCAGCAGTCACTGGACAGACGGGTGAAGCAGGACTCGGACTCTGCAGTCAACAGAGGTATGCTGCTGCTTCCCTTGTTTTCCATTCCAAATTGGTTCCACACAGAGGTGATGGGCTGGCAGGAGATGCGAGCAGAGGTGTCTTTTGAGTTGACTCAAAAGTCAATTGGTTCCCCACAGAGGTGATGGGCTGGCAGCAGATGCGAGCAGAGGTGTCTTTTGAGTTGACTCAAAAGTCAATTGGTTCCCCACAGAGGTGAAGGGCTGGCAGCAGATGCGAGCAGAGGTGTCTTTTGAGTTGACTCAAAAGTCAATTGGTTCCCCACAGAGGTGAAGGGCTGGCAGCAGATGCAAGCAGAGCAGAGATGAAAGCGCAGGTGGAAATAGTGAAGGTGGCACACTCTCACCTTCCATTCCCATCGCACTGCAACTTACCCAACCTGTCCCAACCGAACTCAACCCACCCCGTCCCTGCAGAGCTGATAGCGCAGATGCGGGCAGAGATGAAGGCACAGGAGAAGATAGTGAAGACGATGAAGAAGAAAGGGCTTTGGTCGAAGACCATGGATGAGGTGGGCTGGTCTGCTGGTGTGAGCTGGTGTGAGCTGGTGTGAGCTGGAGTGAGTTCGTGTGCGTGCGTGTGAGCTGGTGTGAGCTGGTGTGAGCTGGTGTGCGTGCGTGTGAGTTTGTGTGCGTGTGAGCTGGTGTGAGCTGGTGTGAGCTGGTGTGCGTGCGTGTGAGCTGGTGTGAGCTGGTGTGAGCTGGTGTGCGTGCGTGTGAGTTCGTGTGCGTGCGTGTGAGCTGGTGTGAGCTGGTGTGAGCTGGTGTGAGCTGGTGTGAGCTCGTGTGAGCTGGTGTGAGCTGGTGTGAGCTCGTGTGAGCTGGTGTGAGCTGGTGTGAGCTGGTGTGAGCTGGTGTGAGCTGGTGTGAGCTGGTGTGAGCTGGTGTGAGCTGGTGTGAGCTGGTGTGAGCTGGTGTGAGCTGGTGTGAGCTCGTGCATGCTGTATGGGTGATACTTGTTGCTATGAAGGTAGTGAAAACGATGAAGAAGAAAGGGCTCTGGTCCAAAACCATGGACGAGGTGCGTTGGTGTGGTGTGAGGGAGTGCAAGTGAGGTGAGCTGGTGTGAGTGCCTGCCTACCTTTCTGCACTGCACTGCGCTACAGGTGGTCACCACTTTGGTACCTTGGTCCTCTCCTCCAAAACCCCTTTGTTTGCACTGTCTGCTTGCTTACCTGTCTGCACTGCCTGCTTGCTTACCTGTCTGCACTGCCTGCCTACCTGCTTACCTGTCTGCACTGCCTGCTTGCTTACCTGTCTGCACTGCCTACTTGCTTACCTGTCTGCACTGCCTGCCTGCCTGCCTGCCTGCTTACCTGTCTGCGCTGAACGGCAGGTGGTGGAGAAGCTAGTTCAGGTGGTCATATTCCTGCACGACCAGATTGTGGACGTGTTTGGGGCCGATGGTGAGTGTTTCCGTGTACATGCCTTGTGCTGCCACGTGCCTGCCACAACTGAGTGATTCTAGTGGTCGTATTCCTGCACGACCAGATCGTAGACGTGTTTGGGGTCGATGGTGAGTGCAGAAAGGTCATTGCTGCTTCCATACATTCACCCGATGAGCTGCTGATTTGAGGAAGCAAGCCCATCTTCTGCTCATTTCCCCCTCCTCTCTACCCATCCCATCTCCTTTCTTTGTACCCCCTCCCCTCCATTTCTACCCTTACCTGCATCGTAATCTCACCCACCGATTTCTGTGGTGAAGGGCGCCTCATGTCCGGCATGCCTCCCATCCATGCCGCTCATACACCCTTCCTCCTTCCCCTTTCCCCCTACAGTGTTGAAGGTGGGTCACCTCATGTCCGGCACGCCTCCCACAGCTGCTGATCTGCCTCCCATCCATGCCGCTCATACACCCTTCCTCCTTCCCCTTTCCCCCTGCAGTGGTGAAGGTGGGTCACCTCATGTCCGGCACGCCTCCCACAGCTGCTGATCCGCCTCCCATCCATGCCGCTCATGCACCGTTTTCCCGGCGTATCTATCCAAAGTGGCGAACACGAACGTGTTCGTGTTCGCCCCTACACGAACACCTTCGTTTGCCGAACCGAACACTGTTCGGTTCGGCGAACACTTTGAGCAAAAAATGGTGTTCGCCGTTCGCCTGTGAAGGCGTGTTCGGGCGAACCTCGAACACTGTTCGTGTTCGTCGCGGGCAAATTGCAGCAGCGGCCCGAACACGAACGTGTTCGGGCGAACATCGAACACTGTTCGGCGAACATTTTAAGCCAAAAAAAAAAACCTGTTCGGTTCGCCTCGAACACGTTCGAGGCGAACCGAACAGGTGTTCGTTTTTTTGCTCAACCCTAATCCAACCCCACCTTTTCCCCCTTCCCCTTTTGAGTCGACTCGAAGCTTCCCCCTTCCCCCAGCCACTGCAGTGGTGAAGGTGGGGCGCCTCATGCCGGGCACGCCTCCCCGGATCTGCCTGCCCCATCCATGCTGCCCATGCACCCCTCTTCCTTCTTATCTATCCAACCCCACTATGTCTCCTCCTTCCCCTTGCCCCCTGCAGTGGTGAAGGTGGGGCGCCTCATGTCCGGCACGCCGCCCTCGGCTGCTGATCTGAGGAAGCTCGGAGTGAACGGCATGGCGCTGCAGTACGCCAACATTGTCAACATGATCGACACCATGGTGAGTTATGTGTTACTCTCGCTCCCTTCCCCTTCATGATCAATGGCGCCATGGTATATGCTGCTCCCTCTTTCCCTTCATGCTGGTAGTAACACTCCGCAATCTGTTCGGAGTGAACGGCATGGCGCTGCAGTACGCCAACATTGTCAACATGATTGACACCATGGTGAGTTATGTGCTGCTCTCTTTGGTATGTGCGGCTCTCCTTTTCCCTTGGCTGGTGGTAGCAATCAGCTCGGAGTGAACGGCATGGTGCTGCAGTACGCCAACATTGTCAATATGATCGACACCATGGTGAGTTATGTGTTACTCTCGCTCCCTTCCCCTTCATGATCAATGGCGCCATGGTATGTGCTGCTCCCTCTTTCCCTTCATGCTGGTAGTAACACTCCGCAATCTGCTCGGAGTGAACGGCATGGCGCTGCAGTACGCCAACATTGTCAACATGATCGGCACGATGGTATGCGATGCTCTCTCTCTTCCTTCCCCATGCCATGATGGTACGCTGGCATTGCTTGCTAGCATGGCGCTGCAGTACGCCAACACAGTCAACATGATTGACACCATGGTATGATATGTGTTGCTCTCTCTCCCTTCTCCTTGGTGCTGGTGGGACCTGGTGAGCCTGCTGGTACACCGTGTGTGTGGGTGGGTGGGGTGAACGGCATGGCGCTGCAGTACGCCAACATTGTCAGCATGATTGACACCATGGTACATCTCCCATTCGCTTTCCCTTCCTGATCTGCGGCGCCGCGTTATGTGCTGCTCTCATTTCCCTTCTTGCGGGTGGTAGCAATGAGTAATGAGCTCGGAGTGAACGGCATGGCGCTGCAATACACCAACATTGTCAACATGATCAACACAATGGTATGCCTACCCTACCCTTTTCTCTCCCGTACCTTTCCATTTCACTTATTTTTTTCCAAGGTGACCCTTCTGGCCGATTGTGTGGCTGGTGTGTGTAAGCCCATGGGCCTTGATCTCATCCCTCCCCTCTACTTCCTATCCCCGCCCCCTCCCTATCATCAGGTGATGCGCCCAGCGTGTGTGGAGACTCAGACGGAGGCTCATCCTCCTCTGTGTCTTCATCCTCGCCTGCTCTTTCTTTTTCTTTCTCTCTCCCTGCTACCAGGTGATGCGCCCAGCATGTGTGGAGACTCAGAGGGAGGCGCTTTTCTCTGCTCTACCTGCTACTGTCTGTGTGCTCATCCTCCCCAGCCCAGCCAATGTTCCCTATGTCTTTTGAGGCGCCTCAAAAGTGTTCCCTATGTCTTTTGAGGCGCCTCAAAAGTGTTCCCTATGTCATGGTTTCCCTCTCCTCTTGCGTGCTCCCTTTCTTTTTCCCTTCAGGTGATGCGCCCAGCATGCGTGGAGACTCAGAGGGAGGCGCTTTTCTCTGCTCTTCCTGCTTCTGTCTGTGGGCGGTTGAAACGCACGCTGCTCCAGTCGCAAGACATAGAGCAGGTGGGTGGGGTGGGGTGCAGTGCGGTGCCATGCGGTGTGGTGTGGTAACCATGGGTCACCATGCTTTCTCTGCTCTGCCTGCTTCTGTCTATGGCTGGTTAAAGCGCATGCTGCTGCAGTCGCCAAGACATAGAGCAGGTGGGTGGGGTGTGCTATGTATGATGCGGTTTGGTGTGGTGCAGTGTGTTGTGGTGCGGTTCGGTGCGGTGTGATGTGATGTGGTGTAGTGTGGTATCGAGGGGTCGCCATGCCTTCACTGCTCTGCCTGCTTCTGTCAGTGTGGTCGGTTGAAACGCACGCTGCCTCAGTCACAAGACATAGAGCAGGTGGGTGCAGTACGGTGGGGTGGGGTGTGGTGTGGTGAGATGTGGTGCGGTTCGGCGTGGTGTGGTGTGGTGTGGTGTGGTGTATTGACGGCGGTGCTGGACTGTGCTGGTCGTATCTGCAATGACTTGACCACCACACACATTACACACATCCATTCAGCTGCACACCCCCTTCCCTCCTCTCCCTCTCCAGGAGAGCGCGGAGAGCATCCGGCAGAAGCTGGGGGCGGTGCTGGACTTTTCGATAACAAGGTTACCCATACACACCCCATCACAAACTCTCACACGCGCACATGCTGCCCCACCTTCCTTCTTACCTCCTCTGCAGGAGAGCGCGGAGAGCATCCGGCAGAAGCTGGAAGCGGTGCAGGACTGGTCTGGTCGATAAGATGAACCGTCCATACTTACACATGCATTCACAAGCTTAGAGAAACTACTCCGCCCCTCAACCTTTCCTCCCTCCCACTCGCCTCTCCAGGAGAGCGCGGAGAGCATCCTGCAGAAGATGGAAGCGGTGCTGGACTGAAGGGCTGGTCGCTTCAGAAATAATCTTGCACACTTGTATTAGACTAATACACACTTGTACGCGCCCACACACACACGCATACTCATTCGGCACGTACTCACTCATTCCAACCCCCTTTCCCCACAGGAGAGCACGGAGAGCATCCGGCAAAAGATGGAAGCGGTGCTGGACTGGCTGGCTGGTCGTGTAGGGACTGACTTGTACACACATCCCATCCCCCCCTCTCCACCCCCCCACACACATTCCCGCTCTCTCCATGCAGGAGAACACGGAGAGCATTCGGCAGAAGATGGAGGCGGTTCTGGATTGGCTGGTTGTACGCGCCCACACACATACCCGCACTGTGCACACATGTAACACATACTCACGCACACATGCCATGCCAACCCCCTTTCTGCAGGAGAGCACGGAGAGCATTCGGCAGAAGATGGAGGCGGTGCTGGACTGGCTGGTTACCATGGCAGAGAACACAATTCGGTACGTAGGTGCTCGACACAGAGGTGACTTTTGAGTCGACTCAAAACTAAAGTCACTTCAGAATAACAAAGAAAGCAAGGCGGCTTGCAGCAGAAGATGGAGGCGGTGCTGGACTGGCTGGTTACCATGGCAGAGAACACAATTCGGTTCGTTCAGCTAAGCACCATTCTGTACACCGTTGCTCAACTTTTCTCTCTGCGTTCACTTTGAATGACTGGGTTCACGCCTCGTACAAGAAATGGAAGAGTTTCGACCACAGCGAGCCTGCAGTTCATGCCATGCCTTGTAAAGAGAGACAGGCTGCTCAGCTTTTGAGACGTCTCAAAAGCCTGCAGTTCATGCCATGCCTTGTAAAGAGAGACAGGCTGCTCAGCTTGCAGCAGCAGATGGAGGCGGTGCTGGACTGGAGGCTGCCTGGTGAACTTGTCTTGGAGGAGACAACACCATTTGGTATGCTTATTCTGGAGTTCTCATTCCGTGAATGGATAATTTGATCATTGCGTCTTGAGATTTCTGCTGCTGCTGCTGCTGCTGCTTCTGCTGCTGCTCGTGCGCTTGCACCATCTACCCGCCGCTCCCTCCCCTCCGCTACCTCTCCTGCCCCTGCTGCCCCTGTTTCCCCTGCTTCCCATGCACAAGAAGCGCTGCTGCTTCGGCTGTAGCACCCCTTCTGCTTCCAACCCCCGTCAACCCACCCACCCAGCCACCCACATACCCTCCCAAGCACCACCTCCCGTTTTTGTCCTTTTCCTCCCTCGTTCCGCCTATCCCCATTCCCAGGTTCGGGCTAGACAGCAGGGTGCAGTGCAGGGGCACACGGACCTGACGCTCCTGCAGACGCTGCTTCAGCTCCCCGTCACCTTGTTCTGTATCCTCCCCCTGCCAACTCCTTCTCTCATTCTCTTATCTCTCCCTTCCACCTTCCTCATTCCTCACCCAGGTTCGGGCTAGACAGCAGGGTGCAGTGCAGGGGCACACAGACCTGACGCTCCTGCAGACGCTGCTTCAGCTCCCCATCACGTTCTTTCCCAGTTCTCCTCCTGCCATCTCCCTTGCTCTCATTCTCCCTCTTCACTCTTTCCCCCCACCCAGGTTCGGGCTAGACAGCAGGGTGCAGGGGCACACGGACCTGACGCTCCTACAGACGCTGCAGCATGTGGATCATCTCAAGATGGAACGCCTCGTGCTGCTGCTGCTCGTGGGGCTTCAGCACCTCGCCAGCCGCAGCGCGGACAATGACTGGAGCCCTGTTCCCCGCGGGGCCGTGCTTGCACCGGTGTATTCCCCTAGGGTCATGTCTCCTGATCGTGGCGGCTCTTCTGCTGCTGCCGCTGCTGGTTCTGCTGGTGCTGCTGGTGATGATATTCCTGCTGAAACGGCTGCTGCTGCGGGTGAATTAGAGGGAATGGTGGTACGTGCTAATGGGGAGAAGACTGGAGAGATGGAAGAGAAAATAACTGCTGTAGTAACAGCCTCTGCCAGCGCGGGTGCTGTTGCCGTTGGTACTGCTCTTGCAGAGTCAGACGGTGCTCCTGCTGCTGCTCTTTCGGCTGGGTCTGATGAGGCAGTTGCGTCTATTCCAGAGGATTTCCGGTTCCCGTTGCCTAAGTCCACTTCTGTGGAGTCACAGGGGGCAGCTGAAGGAGCTTCTGCAGCAGCAGGAGAAGCAGCAGGAGGAGCAGCAGGAGGAGGGGGAGGCAAGGAGGCAGAGTTGGCAGTTGTGCCGCCCATATCTCTCTCCCGCGCCCGTCGCAGCCTCTCAGAGAGCGTCCCAACGGTGGGCGATTGGGAAACCCTCCCCCGGCGCATTGCAGCAATGGAGGAGGAGGAGAAGGCACGCGCAGAAGAAGGGGCCTCGGATTCTGCCGCAGCAGAGGGGTTGGGCGGTGGGGAAACCGGTCGGCCTCGATCGGCTGGGCTTGAAGCTGGTGCGGTGGATGCGGCAGGCTCGGCCGAGCCTCCGGTGTGGCGGCAGGTCCGGCAGGCGTCTCTTACTGAAGTATCCCTGGAGCCGGTACCTGAGGTGGAGGTGATGGAAGGGGAGGAGGGAGAGGGCGAGGGAGAAGAGGAGGGAGAGGGGGAGAAGGGAGAGCGAGAGGAAGGAGAGGAGGAAGAGGAGGAGGTGCATAAGAAAGAGAAGGACGATTTGTTGGCTCCTCTGGCGTCTAAGGCTGGAGGAGGTGGTGGGAGTCGTCCTTCTAGCAGCAGTGGAAAGCTTATCCCAGCTGTCGCTGCTGCCACCGCTGCTGCTGCTGGCGCTGCTGGTACTTCTGCTTCCACAGCAGAGAATGCCGAATCTCCTGCTGCCGCTGCTCGTAGGGCGCTAGCTAGTGGCATGGGCACCAGCCGGAAGAGTTTAGAAAACGCCCTTCGCATGGGGGGTAATGCTGGGAAACGCCCTGTGGACGCCGCCGGAGATTTTGGAAGCCCGCTCGACCGAGGCAAGCTGCCAGGCTCGGCAGCAGGCTCGGGGCCGCCGTTGGCGGGCGAAGCGCTGCTAGCAGCAATGACCATGAGCCAGGGCTTTGGTCCGGCGGCCCGAGGCGCAGCTTCGGAAGAGATGATGGAGGCAATGCGAGAAGCCACGTACGGCCGAAGCAGGAGCCACACGTTTGCCATGGCGGCTCGGCCCGAGCCTAACCCTCGGTTCTTCACAAAGTCCCTAAGCAGATACAGCCTGCTGAGGCGAATGGAGGCGGAGGAAGCAGTGGGTGGTGGTGCTGCGGGCAGCAGCAGCACTGGGGGAGGAGGGTCGATATTTGTGGCGCCTCAGAGGTTCTTACCGATGACTCCTGCAACGGTGGATGTGGATCGAATCCACGACGTGAAGCCTGATCTGGACCTCACCAGTGTGGCTGCGCCTAGACTGGGAGGCAGACTGGTGTAGCAGCGGAGGAGGGTCGATTTTTGTAGCGCCTCAGAGGTTCCTACCAATGACCCCTGCAACGGTGGATGTAGACAGGATTCACGACGTGAAGCCTGATCTGGACCTCACCAGTGTGGCTGCGCCTAGACTGGGAGGCAGACTGGTGTAGCAGCGGAGGAGGGTCGATTTTTGTAGCGCCTCAGAGGTTCCTACCAATGACCCCTGCAACGGTGGATGTAGACAGGATTCACGACGTGAAGCCTGATCTGGACCTCACCAGTGTGGCTGCGCCTAGACTGGGAGGGAGGCTGGTGTAGTGCACTTCACAACTGCTGATGCTGCCCCTGCTGCTGCTGCTGCTGGTACGGGCTGAAAATGGGGGGGTAGGTGACTACCTGCGACTGTGGATGTAGACCGGATCCTTGACGTGAAGCCGGGTTTGAAACTCGACAGTGGCCGCGCTTACAGTGGGAGGAAGAGAGGTGTAGTGCTGCAGCTGGTTCTGTTTCTGCTGAGGCAATGCTGGCTGTCGAGTGCTCTAGTCTATGCCTGCTGTGCTGCTGCTGGTAGATCAGGTGCTGGTGCTGGTGGGTCAGGTGCTGCTGCTGGTAGATCAGGTGCTGGTGCTGGTGGGTCAGGTGCTGGTGCTGGTGGGTCAGGTGCTGCTGCTGGTAGATCAGGTGCTGGTGCTGGTGAGTCAGGTGCCGCTGCTGGTATAGTAGCTTGTTGCTGATATAAGCAGTGATGAAGCTTCAGCATGGTGAGCTTGTCACTTGGACACTTTTTTTTGTCTGAGGGTGGTCTTCTCTTCCACCCTAAACAAACAGGGCAATCAGGGCAATGCACCCAGCTTAAGCGGGCCAAATTCAGGGTGTAGTAAGATGAAACTTGCGAAAGAAATGCGTGGGTTCTTCTGGCTGTGGTCCATTCCTATGGTAGTGCAGGTTGTAGTATTTGTTGGGCTGAAACGCCCTAGGATCTTTGTAGAGTTAAAGTTTGAGTAGATGTTGTAATAGCGGAAGCGTTGAATAAAGCTCTTGAACCACCTTGCGCTAGTATGTGAGGGCAAAGTAAGTTGATAAAAGCAAAGAAATACAAGAATATAAATAGATGAGTACAGAGGATATGAAGAGACATTATAACTAATTTTACTGTTGCGGTTCGATACAGTGCGACTCGGGCAACTGCTCAATGTCGAGTCAGTTGTTTGTCCTTGTTGTCGCGCTGCGTCAGGTCAAAGGTCGCTGCCCTTTGACTTTTCCGTAACCTCCGACGGTTACGTTAACCTCGTTGGTTGACTCGCGCTGTTTCGACTTGAGCTGCTTCGTTTTGTGTCTTGAGTACTGACACGACAGAGGCGCTTAACTTATTTGTTCCCAACACTCCCCATCGCTTCTGGAGTGTCGCTGATGGTGACGTGGCTTTGTCCAGTCAGCAGCATGCAGTACTCGAACTTCTGTTTTCCAAGTTTCTTGGTCAAGTAGTCGGCTGCCATCTCGGACGTGGGACAGTAGGATAGATCGAGTTTCCCTTTCTCGATTTCGTCTTTCACGAAGATGTATCGCAGGGCGATATGCTTCGTTCTGTTCGCGAATCCGCTCTTGTTGGCGATGCGAATTGCGGATTGGTTGTCGCAGAACAAGGTGAAGTTGGGTAACTCGGCTAACTTTGCTTCTTCCAGCAGCTCGCGAAGGTAGAGTCCTTCCTTGGTGGCTGAGCAAAGGGCGATATATTCTGCTTCAGCTGAGGAGAGCGCAATTAGTTCCTGCTTGCTCGATTGCCAGGAAATAGGTCCGATAGGTTCTAGGCGATAGATGTAGCCAGTGCGAGAGCGCCTGTTATCTGAGTCGCCGGCGTGATCGGCATCGACATAGCCGATTAGTTTCGTCGGCGTAGTTGTGTCTTTGTAGTACGTCAGGCCGATCGTTGCGGTGCTCACGAAGTAGTGAAGAGCACGGTCGAGTTCTGCTAGGTGTTCTGCTTCGGGCCTCTTGAGATAGGTAGCGAGTTGGCTAGCGGAGTAGGACAGGTCTGGGCGGCAGGTGACGGCTGCGAAGAGCAGACAGCCCAGTTTTCGCTGGTAGTCGCGTATTCCGGCGGTCTTAAGTAGGACGGAGCTTCCTTTGCCGTTTCCTGCCGTGTAGCGGTATGGCGTGTGGATAGTAGCAGGTGTGAGTGCGAACCGTTTGGCGATGGTGTCGGCGTACTTCTCGGCGTTGAGATAGATCGCATTTTCTTCTTCGCGAATGTTGAGCCCGAGATACTGAGTGACGGTAGTGGAGACCGTGAGTGTGAGGTCCTTTTTCAGCTCCCCTTCGAACCAGGTAGCGATGTCGTCGGTAGAGCCGATGTAGAGTAGATCGTCGACGTAGACAATGAGCAGGATGTAGTTGGCGCCTTTGGTGAGTCGATACATGCCTTGATCGTGAGGTAGTTGACGGAATCCGATGCGGATGAGGCGGGTGTGTAGGTGCTGTTGCCACAGTCGTGGGGCCTGTTTGATACCGTAAAGCGATTTTAGTAGTTGACAGACCTGATTGGGTTCCCCGTGAGTACCGTGAGGGAGCTCGACGAAGATTTCGGCGTCGACGGGTGCGTAGAGGAAAGCGTTAGCGACATCGATTTGTCGCAGTTTCTTCTTCTTCATGGCGGCGATCGCAAGGAGGATTCGGAGAGAGGTGTGTCAGCTGACCGGGGCGAATGTCTCGGTGAAGTCCCGGCCTTGTTCCTGATCAAATCCTCGCACGACCCATCGTGCCTTGAACTTCTCGATTGTGCCATCTGCTTTCGTTTTGATGCGGAAGACCCACTTCCCGGTAAGGATGGTCTTGTTTCTTGCTATGCTTGCTGGAACGACTTTCCAGGTGTTGCGTTCCTCCAATGCTTTTAACTCTCTGTCCATGGCTTCACGCCATTTCTCCTTGTGTTCCCCCCCCAGAGCCTGTTGAACTGTCGCAGGCTCGTTAGGAAGAGAGGAGCCATGGACTGCGGTGACGAGGCCGAGAATCTGCAGTCCGGTCTGTGAGTAGCGGGGGAGTGTTGTGTCCTCGGGATAAGCTGCTTCATCTCCCGTTTCTGGGTCGGGTATGAAATTCGGTCCTACTCTTTCTGCTTCGTTGGTGTTGGCTGTTGCAGGTGTTACGTAACCATTGTCGGCGAAGTGATAGAAGACTTCGGCGTTGGCACTTTCGCGAGGATGTTCTTCGTCCATCGGGACGTTGGCGGAGCAGAACGGGAGAGGTCCGCCTTCTTCAGATGCGTTGTCGACGTTCTGCTCGTCCCAGTCTGCTTCGTCTGCTGCTGAGGCGAATGCTCGGTCACCACGAAAGCCACCTGTGGGGTCCTGATTCTCGTGCAAGTTGGCGAGGTATGTCTGAAGGGTGAGGCGTTCGTAGAAGATCACATCACGTGCTGCTACTGTTTCTTTTGAGTGGACGTCAAAGATTTTCCACGCGTTGTAATTCTTTTCGATGCCGAGGTGTAGTCCCCACTGTGCGCGTTGTGAAAATCTTCCCGCTCGTGCCTCAGGGGGTCGGTACTGTACCATGCACCCAAAAACTCGTAACATTTTTGTGCTGCCCTGCTTCGCTGTCCACAGCAGATGCGGTGATGCGTTGTTCGGGAGTGAGGACGACGACATCAAGTTGTGCAGCATGACAGCGTGGTCCATTGCTGCAGGCCACTGGTGGTTGGGTAGCCGCATGCCACGTAACAGTTTGCGCATGCTGTTCTGCAGAGTCCTGTTCATTCGTTCTGCGACACCTTGCTGCTGATGGGCGTAGGGAAGGGAGAGGAGTTGCTTGATTCCTTTTTCCGCCAGGTACTGCTTGAAGCGCTGAGAGATGTATTCTCCTCCTCCGTCTGACTGGAAGCTTTTCAGCTGTGCTCCCGACTCTCGTTCTGCTACTGGTAGCCAGGCGGCGAACGCTGCGAGTGCCATGTCGCGGCTTGGTAGGTTTAGATGCCAGACATATCGAGTGGCGGCGTCGATGAAGGTAATCGTATAGTTGTAGGTGACTTGTTCTGGTTCGCGATTGTAGAGGATGTCGCTGTACACCTTCTCGAGTGGTGCGTACGCCGGTGCGCTCGGGTTGTGATGAGGAGCGAACGGTCGATGTGGTAAGTCAGCTTCGGGGCAGGTAAGACAAGTCCCTCGTGCCTTTTGAAGTTCTCTGCCGTCGGGTAGTAGTAGGGAGTCTTTGTCGAGAACTCCTGCTCTTATCGTGTTGTTTAAGACTGTGTTGCTTGGATGTCCCAATCGTGCGTGCCAGGTTTCTTCGGAGGCGCGATGTCCGGGTGATCGTCGATACGTGTCGGAGTTGGAGTAGAAGTTGGCGACGAATTTTGCGCTTCTGTGGGCTTCTCGTGGAGTTGGTTTCAACTGCTGTGCGGGTGTTGGTGGTTCTTCGTCGACGAGGACTGGTGTCGTTGTTCCTGCTGCTGCTGCCGATGTTGTCTCTGCTGCTGTCGTTGTTGTTTCTGCTGCTACCGATGATGTCTCTGCTGCTGTTGTTGTTGTTTCTGCTGCTGCCGATGATGTCTCTGCTGCTGCCGATGTTGTCTCTGCTGCTGTCGAGTGTTGTATTGTTGCTAATGCGCGTGTTCGTTCTGCTTCAGGGATAGTATGGGAGTACCAGAAGCCTTCCGGGCTGAATTCTGGATCAAGATCTGGAGGGTGCGTCCAGTCCGTGAAGTTAACAATAGCGTCGCTGTCTGCGGTGCCCAGGTCCAGGACGAAATCCAGGACGAAGACGTTGTTCTTCAGAACTGCCTTCCCGATGTAAAGGCCGCCTTTCCCGTGATATAATTTAAATTCCTGGGTGGTGCTGTCGGCTTCCAGGTGGATGCCCTTCGCCATCAACTGGCTGACGCTTAGTAAGTTGTAGCCGAGTCCTTCTGCTATTAGTACCTTTGACATGTGTAGTATAACATTAGTCTCCCTGGTCTGAAGCTGTACCACTCCTTGTCGTCGTGTGCGCATGTTCTGATTGTTGGCAACTGTGATGACGACCTCTCGTTGA